TACAGGGATGACATTAAATGACTCCCCTACTTTAAATTAAAATAATTTTAATACCATGCAGTTTATTTAAATATATTTATTAGCAAATTGTAGCCAAATAGTTAGGATTTTGTTTGGTATATGACATGTCCAGGTATCTATTAACCAATATTTTTTACAAGGGGGTATGATTTTAAACATGCAAAATTTTTTGTACTTTTTATGCAATTCATAGTTATATGCATACAACTTGAGATTTATTATAAACCATACTGTTCCAAAAGTGGCTAGCTAGCCACTTTTGTAGTACATTTTTATTGGCTTATAGAAAATCAGATCACAAACATAGTTACAAAATAAAGTGGGTGAGTATGAAAATAAATAGAAATATTAGTTATAAACTGTAATAATGAAACTTGGCAATAATTGTAACATATTTAAGGCAAAAATAATGTTAAAATTTTAACTTTATTTTATAAACTATAATGAAATAAAAATATTTATTTGCTATATACAAAATAATTTTTCAAACTGTAAAATGTTATATACCTTATGTATAATTGAAATGTCTAAAAACAAATATATATCTAATGAACCGGTGATTATAAAGATAGAAAAATAGTAATGATATTTACGATTATTACGTACCTTATCTACTGATAATCTATATGACTGAAATCAATAATGTCTTATGAAATTTAAATATTAAAAGGCGCTAGCAAACGCTGTTATAAACTGTAATTCAATGTTTTAATACAAATATTCACTAAACTGTTATTTTATATAAATAATTTTATTCACTAATAAATGAATATTAATTCAAAATCAAATAATTTTATTGAAAATAGTGAATTACAGATTGTAATAAATCTCAACTTGTTAATATATAAGTATGAATTGCATAAAAGTACAAAAAATTTTGCATGTTTAAAATCATACCCATTGTAAAAAATATTGGTTAATAGATACCTGGACATGTCATATACTAAACAAAATCCTAACTATTCGGCTACAATTTGCTAATAAATATATTTAAATACACCGCATGGTATTAAAATTATTTTAATTCAAAGTAGGGGAGTCATTTAATGTCATCCCTGTAAAATTAGCAATTTTAAGTTTTTAAAAATTTTATTTTAATAATAACTTGTAAATAATTGTGAGAAATTAATAATTATTTAGCCATTGCATTTAGGCAAAACCTGTAATAATCTTATGCATTGTCAAATATATTACAAAATAAGACAAAATATATTTTAAATTGAATCAAAACACGACAATATTCTCAATAAAATATTATATCATAATAACATAAATAATTGTAATTAAACCATACAAAGTATACTGATAATATTACAAAGTATACTGATAATATTACAAAGTATACTGATAATATTACAAATCTACTAACTTGTAAATGTTAAAACTAGCAAGAATTAATTTAGTACTTGTTTAATTATTCTAAACTTCAACCTTGATTATAGAAATTATGTGTTTATTATAGGCCTGCAACGGTATAGCCCCCATCAACCAACATATTAGTGCCGGTTATAAACGTTGATTCCGGTGCCGCCAATAATAGCACAGCGAATGCTAAATCGTCGGAAATGGCGACCCTTTTCACCGGCATTTTCGGCGCCAATTCAACAAACAGGTCGTTAGGGGTGTTGTTTGGATCCCAAGGGTAAGGAGCGATTGGACCTTCACTATAGGTATGTACGGTATAAACATTATCGATGGGAGAGAGAGAGAGAGAGTTCATCAGATTTATTGACGTCACACATCACTCAATGGTATGGTGTGTCGGGAATTCCTCAAATTGATACTCACTCTCGACTCTACGGTGAGTCTCACAGTTCGCACTATTGTTGGAGTAGAGAGTCGACATCACGGCCCACATTCAAGGACACCCCCCTCTCCTCATACCAATATAGGTTGAAAAGAGGAATGCTGTGACCTTGGACTAGTCGCCTACTTACCAAGAGCCTGCAATGCGCACGTCTTACCGTAAGACCACTGCGTCCTCAGTTTGAGAGAGAGAGAGAGAGAGAGAGAGAGAGATGCAAAACACAACATACTTAACACTATTAACTCGTATGCCTTTGGGTCCCAACTCAGTGGCCATACATTTGGTGAACATATCAATCGCCGACTTTGCCATACAATACGCCGACTCTTTCGGTTTCTATTCATAAAATAGATATTAATTTAAGCATGGTCAATATAGCAAAACTACTATACTGCATGAGCGCCTCTAATGCTGGACATGTTGATAATGGTGCCCCGTGTCTT